CAGGTAACTGATGAAGTACAATGCCGAAGGGAGCAGCAGGCGGGTCAGGAGAGGTCTGCTGTACCTTGTGGGTCACCTGCCTAGTGGGGATCGAACTCACACCGAAGCAGCTGTGACTAGCTTGCAGTGCTGCACTTTAACCCATTGTGCCACCAGGGAGGGCCTCTGTGAGTAACTTTAAATACCTTAGTATACATGCACACACTCCATATATGTGTATGTTGTAATGTCTGTATGTATTCACACACACACATACTTTTAAAAGAAATAAGACTTTTTAAACATGGTGGACACGTTTTTACAATTTCAGTTGACTCACTTCTGTGGTCACAGTAGGTTGTTTTTTTACAGATTTCCCCCATTAAAATCTGTATCCAAAACATTAACCTATTGCTGCTTAACAGTGACCACAGCATTAGCAGATTCAAGCAACAATTTGCCCACAAATTCATTTGCCCACAGATATGGCATGGCATAACTGAGTAAAGTTTGTCTGAGTGTTTTGTTTTGATCTCACATGGCTGAGATCAAGATGTTGGCTGGACCGAATTTTATTTATTTACTTATTTATTTGCTTGTTTTTTTCATCTGAAGACACTGTGGGGAATATCCTTTCAGGGTCTTGCATATTGTTGGAAGAATCCAGTTCCTTACAGCAGCAGCCCCAAGGTTCCTGTTCTCTTGCTGCCTATCTGCCACACTTCACTCTTGGCAGATATATGTTGCTTTCAGGTCTTTTCCACATAATCCCCTCTGTCTTCAAGTCACAGAGGCATCCTGAATCCTTCTTGTGTTTCAGATTTCCTCATTTGCCTCCTCTGGAATCTACTAGCAGAAGCATCCAAGGTCCACTTGGATAACCTCCCTCCCTATAGGTCAACTGATTGACAACCTTATTGACATCTGCAAAATCCCTTTTGCCATGCAAAGTAAGATAATCACAACTTTTAGTATTCTGCTTGCCACAGTTGCCCTACACAGATATCAGTGTTCTATGGATTTAGTTATTCAGGTTGAATGACCTGAAAAAGCATTTGAACCCTTAAATGAAAATCACCCTAATCAATTATATATCGGTTACGTTTTATTGTGGATGTGACACAAAGGATTTGTGGTCTTGAAAAATATTTACTTTTTAGAGAAGTCTATAAATGTTTCAGATAAAAGTATATTTTAGAAAGTGTTTTGAAGAGCTATTTTAAATGCTTAGCATATTTATTACCTGGAATGCTTTGGTTTTTATTAGATGACAGTGAATAATATTATTTTCTTGATACATGCTGTTAATCACGGTCTTAATTATCCAGTAATGACACAAACTCATAAGCTTTAAAACTAAAAAAATGTGAGATTACTGGTCATCCTTTTCATAAATGAGAAGTCAGAGACTCAGAGCAGAGATGACTCTGAAAAGGGCACAAAACCTCCTAGTTAGTGGTAGGGATGAGCCTAGACTATACGTCCTGATGCGCTTTCTAGTAGTAATGATGACAATGACATTAATTGAATATTTTCTTTATATTAGGCACCAATATTTATTTTAAATGTTTTATTTAAAATTTAAATATATCATTTGCCTTAATCCACCTCTAGAGAGGTGGCCATTGTTATTATCATTGCCTTTCCACGGCATGAGAAAATGAAATTACAGAGAGGGTAAGTAACTTGCTCAGTCACCCAGCTTTGTATCCGAGGTATGTGGTGCAGTGGGCATTTGAAAAGAAGCACATAAATACCAGGGCCCCATCTCTGTTCTGTGCTCTGCCCTTTCTACCCGCCAACTGCTTCTAACAGAGCCTCCCACGTGTAGTTACGGAGTTAGTGCCATCTTCACAAACTAGCTTTTGGTGTTAATTCTGACACCACCTCAAGTGAATAAGAGGAAATTTGGAGTCAAGGTACGATGTACAAACTCTGGATTTTCACTTACTTATCTGACTAAGAATTTTGTAACCTGCTGGGGCCCTGGAATTGTCTGTGTTTATCCCTGGAGATTATTAAAATTTTATGAGAGGACATATGTAAAAAGCAATCTAATTAAAGGATTGTATGCTCATTGTACTTATCCTTTGACAAATGTTGAATGATTCTCATCACCTTGTAATAGTTGATTTTCAAGTCACTTTTGCTGATGAAGTCAGACTAAAAAGCTATAGGTCTTTTTTCCGTCAAACTGTATTGACTTGCCAGCAATTTACATTCTGTATTTGGGGAGTCCAACTTCACACCTCCATATGTGCACATGTTTCATTCACCCTCTACCAGAGCTCCAGTGCCAATCCTCTAGCACCTTCCCTTCACAGCCCGCCTCCTTCCTCTCCTTCATCCTCTCTAGTAACCAATATATCTTTCAGAATATAAGAATTAATTTAAAAAAAAAAGTAGATCTTTGACATTGCAAAGTCTATGCCTTGAAATCTTTAGGAATCTTATTTCTTTCAAAGGTCTTATATTCTCTTTACATATGCTCATGCCACATTTTGAAATTTCATTGAATGTGATGAAATTCACTAGTTGATGGTTATTCACAAGGATATTATTTTTCACAGGAAGTGGCCAGGAGAGATAGCTGCAAAGTCCGGGTCTCAGCCACTGGCCAGCTCCCTCCCATCAACCCAGACATTGCACTGATTCCAGTTCCTGCCTGCACATGTTTTTATTTGTGTTTTGTTTTTGAGAATCACTCTCAAATAAAGTCATCAATATTAAATTTGCAGATACCCAGGTCTGTTCTTCATCATTCCCATCCTTAAAAAAAAAAAAAAACTCATACATAACATTTTACCTTCATCATTTTAGGAATATATAAATTTTTTGCTTGTTTAGTTTTTGGTTTTTATGTTTCTTTTTGCTGTCCCATTTGAAAGTAAGATGCAGACTAGAACTTTTAAGCTCTATAAATATTTGATCCTGTAGCTACTACTGATCATTTTTTATAACACATGCCATCATAGCTACACAAGAAAGTTAACAATTTCCTAATTGCATCTAACATCCAATTCATAGTCACATTTTCCCTGCTTGCCCTAAAATTGCTTTTAAAGTACTGATCTTAAGGTTTCTTACTTTGCTTTGTTTTGGTTTTTCCTAAATAAGGAGACAGAATACACCAGTAGCATTTAGTCATTATATTTCTGTGATTTTTTTTTTTATCCTGGAAAAATTCCCACACCTTGTTAGTTTCTAACTTTATTAAGACATGAGGCTAGTTCTCTTCAACAGTATCCCATATTCTTAGTCTTAATTTTGTTATAAATTTTTGAAAAATAAAGGTTAGTTTCAGAGATGTGATTAGAAAAAGGTTGTATATTTTTATCTGGAACAACTTGAGAGTTAATTTGGTGCATTTTATATCTGTACAATTGCCCTATTAGTGCTCCTAGGTTTGATCTGTTAAGATGATGATAAACAGGTCTGCTAGTGTTAAAATCATGTTTCCTTTAATCAGTACCACCAACTTGTGGATGGTAATTTGTCTCATATGATCATCCTTTTCCCACCCTCTATTCCAAAGGTGCTGTTCACGTCAACGGATGTAATTATTCCATTGGAGATTGCAAATTGGTCATTTTAAATTGTTGCATTTCTTTTATATCTGTTAGCTAACATTCCTCTGTAAGAAAGTTTTCCTTCATCAATAGGGGTTGCATTTTATAGTTTTATAGTTCATATCAGTACAACATATTCATGTCAGTTATATAAAATAAAACCTTAGATTATGCACCTGAGTTGTAGTTCAGTCATAACCTACATTTAATTTTTGAAGTATTTTATAGCTGAAAGTGGAGAACAGATGGTATTTAAAGCAGTGTTTCAAAACAACGAGCAAATATTATTTTATTAGTGTCATGGTTTTTCACCAAGTCAACAGTGCTATCAGCAAGTGTTTACTGATCTGAAACAAGGTTATTAATATCCAACACTAAAGGATCTTAATGCATGGCTGTGTCCCCCAAAATTATGGTATGCATAGCCAACATGGTAAATTTTTAGACCTGACTAGAAGTAAATCAATTTGGATATCACCCTGTTGTTTCAGCCTTAGTAGTTTCTCAATTCCACATTCCAACATACAAGGCCTGCTAGAATTTAGGCTCAATTTTTTTGTCTGACCAACCCCCCAACTTTTTTTTTAATTATTGGAACCATAACTCCACTGCGCATGGTCTCTCCTATCATTAGCCATTGTCCTTGATCTTACTTTTACAAAAACTCAAAAACAAAAACACTCTTCTTGACTCCCAATCAGCCATTTTTCAAACCCTGCTCAAAAGGCTTTCCCTCAATGAAGTTTCTTCCTAGATAAACCTTTATATCTCTGTCACATCTGTGGTACTTGGCTCAGTTTCCTCTTACATCATCTGGTTGACTTCTGTAAGTAAACCTCATAGCCACACTGTTGAAAATCCTTGGGTACGTGACCACTCATGACCCTAAATCTTCTATGACATTGTACCAGGCTGAGTTTTTGCATCTCTTTGAGAATCTCTCTGAAACTTACCAATGGAGCATCTATTATCAGACAGGTCTAGCTCCGTGTGTAACCTTTTTTGCCTTCTAATATCTATCTAATACCTCCAAAGCTAGATTTTCAGGTGAATGTTAAGACCAGAATTTAAGGATTACTCACACCTGTTCTTTGGAAATACTTCCTAGTTCTTTGTGACAAACAGAAAGGGAAACAGGCAGGCATAAATTAACCACAATGAAAACAAAACTTATTTTTCTTAGGTTGAACCTTTTTATTCCTTTGCTACCAGTTTGAATGCTGTTTTCAATGGAAATAACACAATGGTATTTTGTGTTTCTTCAAGATTTGTTAGCAGTCTTTCTTCCCACTCAACAAGACATTGTTTGAAATGCCTTCTCTATCTCCTTAACAAGCACCCTTTGTATTTATGCAGTTCTGTTCACCTGAGGACCTCAGAGCACTGGCTGGTACTTTCTGCTGCCAGATGGTGATGACAAACTATCACCTCTTCTGTTTTCTGTCTCTGCAGAAGCAGGAGGTAAAAAGCTGCGGAGCACTGTCCAGAGAAGTACAGAAACAGGCCTGGCTGTGGAAATGAGAAACTGGATGACACGACAGGCAAGCCGCGAATCCACAGATGGCAGCATGAACAGCTACAGTTCAGAAGGAAAGTGAGTGAGGCAGGCTGGTGTGTGTCCCCTGGGCCTTGCCCAGGACCATGCTCGGTCTCAGTCCTGGTGCTTTCACAGAAGCTAATTCATACTACATGGCACTATTTTAATATGCACTGACCAATTTGCTGTGAAGAGCACTTCTGCTCACCTGCCATGGAGCAAAGTGACATATCTGACTTTTTATTTCAAGGGAAATAGGTTTGAGGATAGTGTTTTGCTTTAATGACAAGGTGCTAAAATATCCCTGTCATGGCACACAGAAATACAGCAGCTTGCCCCCCCCCCCTGCAAATCGTACCTAAAAGCACAAAAATAATAACATTCCTACTTCACTGCATGAACACTGCTAGTTTTTAACATTTTTGCTCTAGCAATTATTACTCAAAAATGTAAGTATTGATACATACTCAGTTCTACAGGGTAATGAACAATTCAGACAAACGGAATAGCCCGAAAAAAATGGCACTAAGACTTGGTGAGCCTTTCCTTTACAGAGTTAGCATGTAGCTTCCCTGGCATCAGTGGTCTCTGAGACATTGCTCAAGCATTTGTAAAGATCGTGTAGCCCTATCACCATTGGCAGAAGAACAGTAATGAGCAAGGGCAGATCTGCGGGGGGCATGTAAAGGGCACTGAGGGAAACCCTGGCTGCCTGGCCTCACGCCTCACTCTGCCATTGCTGTGGAAGTGTCGGGCGTAGCTGAGTGTCGAGTAGCCTGCTCCCAGGCCCGTGAAGCAGGCGCTGCTGGTAGAGTATTGGTCATACGCCCTGGGTATCGTTTACTAGCACAAGTACATAAATATAGGAGTTGTGTATGGTGTTTTTAGCATTTATAAGAAAGGTGATTTGAAACACCCAAAGTGCATGTTTGGGCTAACTGAGTGTTTGGAAATTAAGGCTAGGGAAGTAGTAGATTTGATGCTAGTGAAGGAAGGCAAAGAATCAAGTGAAAAGTGCAAGCATACTTTGTGTTATTGTGCTTTGCTTTGTTGCATTTCCCAGATATTGGGGTTTTACAGACTAAAGGTTGGGGCAGCCATGGTGAAGCAAATCTGTGTGCCGTTTCCAGTAGCTCAGATGATGGTTAACATATTTCAGCAATTATTTTTTCATTAAGGTATAGGTGCACTGTTTTTAGACATAATGCTATTGCACGATTAATGGACTGCAGTATGGTGTAGTTTATGCACTGGGAAGCAAACAAACACAAATTGCATGGCTTGCTTTATTGCAGCTTTGCTTTCCTGCAGTGGTCTGTCCCAAACCTACAATCCCTCTGAGTTGTGCCTGTCCATGCACACTGAGTACCTGCTGTTGTAAAGTGCTATGTTACACACTGTTGGGGGCATTCAAATGTGTAAGCTAAAGCCCCTGTGCTTTAGGTGTTCACAGTCTTATTGGAGAAATAGGCCAAATACCCATAAATACTTTGCTCAATAGTATTGTACCTCATAGTGTTCTGACCTACTATCTGGGGATATAAGTCATCCAGGGAGCAAAAATAATTAAGAGGCATGAGCCAGGGGTGTAGGGGCGGTGAGAGGCTTCACCAGAGATAAGAGTGGGGATCAGAACAGGCAGATCAACGAAGTACACTGCTGAGGGGAGCAGCGAGCAGGTCGGGAGAGGTCAGCCGCGCCATGTGGGTCACCTCCGGGGCTCGAACTCAACACTGAAGTGGCTGTGACCAGCTTGCAGTGCAGCGTCCTAACCCATTGTGCCACCAGGGAGGGCCCAGAAAGATATCTTTTTTTTTTTTTTTAAGTGGAAGAATAACGGCATGTTTGTGTTTTTCTGGGAATGAGGAGTTTATCTAGAAATCCAGTTAAATAACACATTCCATCTCCTAGCTTGACTGAAAGGCTTGAATATGATACCGCCTGTCATGGATTAAGTGCTCTGTAGGTACCACCAAGTGTTGTTGAGAGAAATCACAGCCCCTGCCTCCCAGAGCAGGGAAAAGAAAGACCCAGATAGAATTTCCAGTCCAGTGTGGACAAGATTTTCTGGCTGCAGGCATGTGCTGCTGGAGAATAAGGAAGGAGAACTGTGGAGCTGGGCTGTGGTTTTGGAGCCTAATGAGTAGAAGTGGCAAGAAGTGGTACCAGCCGCTGCTCCTGTCCAGGGAGGACTTGAGTTACCAAAAGTAAACAGGGGTTGAAGGTTTAATCCCATGTGTTATTTTGCTTTTAGTCTGATTTTTCCTGGTGTCCGCTTGGCCTCTGATAGCCAATTCAGTGATTTCCTGGATGGCCTTGGCCCGGCCCAGCTAGTTGGGCGCCAGACTCTGGCTACACCGGCAATGGGTAAGAATTTCTCACTTGGTTTCATTATTTTTCCTTGAGATTAAAATTCACATTCTCTGAACCTCATAGAATCTTTCATAACAGTACTAGCAAGAATGAATAGCTTAAATTTTTAACAATCAAAAATCTTCAATTTTTTTTTATTTTAAGTATATGCTTTTGAAAGTAAAATAGCATTGATGAAATCTTAAATCTGAGTTTCGGAAAATATATGGGACATGATAAAATGATGTTAAACCAAGATCTTTGCTGTAATCATTTTTCTCACTACATTTGTATGTTAAGTAAGGCCTATTTGTTTCACCCCCAGGTGACATTCAAGTAGGAATGATGGACAAAAAGGGACAGTTGGAAGTTGAAATCATTCGGGCCCGTGGCCTTGTTGTAAAACCAGGTTCCAAGACACTGCCAGGTAAAAACAGAAGATTCATCTACTATTGCTCGTAATTCACACTTTCAACTCGAAGAACAGTTGCGATTAGATGCTAAAAATTTTGCCTGGGTAATCAATGACACTAATGAGTCAGTTAGCTATAATAGTTCAGTGTGTGTCCTGAGCAAGCTTTCAAGGAAGACTTCTGGTGAGGTAGAAGTTGTTAGAGAACTTATCAGAATAGAAACTAGTATAAAAGAACTACCACAGTTAGATCACTCATTTGTACAATGTATACATAAGCTCTTTTTCTTGCTAGGTAGCATTTTGTGTTCTTCTCTAATTTATCCAGGGGTTCAGAATTCTTCTTCAGAAACCAGAGAGCCCTGAAATTAGAATAAAAATGTTCTCAGGGCACTAAAGTAATATAAGCCTATGATTGCTAGACTTTCTAATTATAAGACTTCTACTTCCTATAGTATACAAAGAGAGGAGGGAACTATGATAAATTTTTATCACAACATCACATGTTTTAGGTTGAAATGTTATTGTAATTTAAAGTGTTTCGAACTGTGGAAATTACCACATACGCCAGGTGCATTGTGCAGAGGTGTCTAGAACATCAGACCTAACCTATACAACAATTACTAAGGATTTGGAAGCTTGGTCTCTTGCCTCAGCACCTCCCTGACTGAATTCTAATTTTAAATCTCTTAACTTCTCTATCCTTGCAGAAATACTGCATTATAATACATAATAGCTATTGTACAAGCCTGCAGTGGTGATTAAAGCAATTGAGTTTCTTAAGGTCTTGGAGCTAGTCAACCCACAGTGCTAGAAAGAATATAATTCACACAGGCATAAAAATACTTTTATAAAGTACCTGTCGGATAAATTTCAAGCCATGAGATTCATAATTCAATGTCTGTCCCTGGGTAATTTGAACATAGTGCATCAAACCCACACCACCAACAACAAAAAAGCCCTTTTGAGTTGTAAACATGATTTGTAGGGATGAGCATATCAAACAATAGAGTTTTCTTTCTATGTAAGCATAGGTTTTGGTAAGTATTGATAAATGACAGCTCAAGTATAACTTCTCCCAAATATTTCTAGAGAACAGAAGCATTATGCTTTGTTTAGTACAGTGTACAAATGTAAATAAAACAGTCAATGGTAAAATAGTAACTGTGGTCTAAAACTACCTCATGACTGGTAGTTATCTGCTGTTTATCTAATGATTTTGACACGACTCAGAAAGGCTAGTGACAGATGGCTGACTCACTCTTGCCATCTAAGGTTAAGCTGTTGCAGGTGTGACATGTGACTGGGTATTGCACTTAGCATTTAATGTTTTCTTCCCTAAGCACCATACGTAAAGGTGTACCTACTCGATAATGGAGTCTGCATAGCCAAAAAGAAAACAAAGGTGGCGAGAAAAACGCTGGAACCTCTTTACCAGCAGCTGTTATCCTTTGAAGAGAGTCCCCACGGAAAAGTTTTACAGGTATTTACTGAATTATTTATCCCATATGGAAGATAGTATTTTCTTGTTGCCAAACCTTACACCCAGCTTTTTTTTTTTTTTTTTTTTGCCACATTCTTTTTTGTGATTCTGAGATTCTTTGGAAACCTTCCCAGGAAGTGGCCAGTGCTGTAAAACTATCAACACTAATGTTTCCTTTAAAGTGGATCTCCCTGGGCCGTTTGTGATCCTGACCCCCAGCCCCATGCGGTTTTCCCCTAATGCCTTAATGTACCTTTAGATTCTAATAGTAACAGAAAGTTATATTTCACTTGATGTTTGGTGTCAGCACCTTAACTGAATGTGTTTGTTTACAGCGTTCATGCCTGTGATTATACTGACATTACTCTCCTTTTTACTTTGCCTACAGATCATCGTCTGGGGAGATTATGGCCGCATGGATCACAAATCCTTCATGGGCGTAGCCCAGATACTCTTAGATGAACTGGAACTCTCCAATATGGTGATTGGATGGTTCAAACTTTTCCCCCCTTCCTCCCTAGTAGATCCAACGTTGGCCCCTCTTACAAGAAGAGCTTCCCAATCATCTCTGGAAAGTTCCACCGGACCTTCTTACTCTCGTTCATAGCAGCTGTAAAACTGTTGTTCATAGCAACCAGCGTTACAAAAAAACAAAAAACAAAAAACAAAACCCACAGGTCGCAAACCCTGGTAACACTGCATGCTTAATGTTGTGTCTTCTGGGCCTGTTTCTAGGGATACAAAGCGATCCTGTGTTCTCAGAGGAAGTTGCACACATTGTGCCCTACAGAAGGCCCTCAGGTGAAAGAGCAGAGCTATGAAGAACTATCAGGTCTGGAGTTCAGTTGTACTCAAGTTTTGGTCCAATCTGAAGCCATGGATTAATCTCAAAGAATCAGTCAGTTTCATGCAACAAAAGCCCTTTTCAATGGCACCTTTATATTTTTATCGTTCCTTTTTTCTTCATTTCTCTGATCCCAAAGCCCTGTTATGCCACAGAAATGGAGCTATACCGCCACTAAGCCATGTAACAAGTCAAGGAGTGAAGTTCTGGGAAGCATCAGGTCAAAAGCAAGAGACCAAAGATGTGGTCTGGGCCAAGAGGTCAGCCCTCCTCTGGATGATGGCCAGGAGCGACCCCCTGAGTGACCAGCAGCGACTTCGAGCTCCAGCAGGCATGTCACTCATTAGTGCCAGGATGTGTTGGATGCTGAAAGACACAATTCTGTGGCTATACTGTACTGAATGAAATTCAAGAAACTTTTTTTGCATGGACACAGATTAGCTGAATACTTAAATTATTTTCTTGGGGCTGCAACTTGCAAAAAAAAATAATAAAATAAAATAAAAATCAGCCATTTTCAACAATTTATATTATTTTTAAAATTAACTTTCACTAGTGCATGGTTTTAAAAAGGGGAGAGAATGCAACAGGGTGATACAAAGACACATCATGTTTATTCTTTAAACTAACCATGGTCTGTGTTTTGGCAGACATTACAGATGAAAATACTTTCTAGAAGATACGTAAAATTCTCTTTATGTGACAAATAAGTATAATATATTCTGTTTATTTCCATGTTAAATATACAAAACTGATGAAGTTCAATATGTACACATTGTACACGTCTTCTTCAATATCTCAATTTTTGTCTCCCCCCTCTTTTAACCTTTTATTTTCTTTCTCCCTACCGGAGTGAACGTTAAACTAAAAAGTAACAAATTTAGACCCCATACTTGAGTCAGAACTGTGGAAGCTTCTGAATTTATGAATTTCTCAAGGGAAAAAAAAAATTAAGAGCTTTCTTTATTTCAAGCATGTTGGAAAGGATTTTGCAACATGGCTTGGGAGTACATTAAAGCCAGTCAGCATGTGTTTGATAAAGAAGATATTTGAACTTTTGCAATTTATTGTATAGTGCATGGTAATTTTATTTTCACCATCAAAGTTCAGTTTTAAAGGAAAAGCCCTAAAATCATGTGGACATTGTAATGTCCAAAAAATTTATTTTTAGCACCAGCATTTATTCATACAGTGGTCGAAGTATTATTTCTAGAAGGTTTTAGGTTCTATTTTTTAATCAATTAAAACAGTTTCTTTAGCCAATTTCCATTTACTGTGTGACTAGAAAACAATGCTAAAATTTTGGAGCTCTGAAACACAGGGCTGTTTATTAATTCATTTTTCTGTAGCAAAATTCAATTTTTCACAAATTATATTTCTAAAGAATATAGTAAACATAAATTTGCAACAGATCATTTTGAAGCTCCAATTTTTAGGTGACTCCAAGAAAGTCAGTTTGCCTGTTACTAGTTCTTTGATGCCATCACCCAAAACCCACATGTATTCCCCATGTCAAATCCCTCCCTGCCTTTGGCTTTACAGACACTTATTACCATGGGGTGGTGCTGCAAGGCCAAATTTCTTTTGAGTTCTCCCATTTAGAAGAAAACTCACTGGTTAGTGTAATAAACCAGCCACACACTCTGATTCTTTACGTACATGTTGTTACCACATTCTTACAGGTTGATTTTATTTCTGCATACCGTTTGTTTAAGTCAGGGCCATGCACAAAAATTGCATTCTGTTTTGTTTTTGATTGTGTTGTTTTCCACTTGAAGTTCAGTGCTGATCGTTAAAAACTATCATGCTTGATATGGTGCAAAAGTTAAAATGAGTATCACTAAAAATGCCTTCTCTTTATGTGGTGCAATATGAAATACACCGAGACTGTGTCTTGACGTTCTGCGATCTCTGATGGACCCAGGTAAAGTTATTAGAAGAGTGAATAAAACTTTATTAAAATAATTTAGACACTTGTGTACCAGCAACAAATTGACTTCCTAGACCTATCCTGTCTTTACTCTCCCTTAGAATAAACGTTTACCATTTTCCTGATACTAAGATGCCGTCACATAATCTTTTGTGCATATTCCTATATAAATTATTTCTAATTTTAATAAGAAGGACATGACTGTATGGAATATTTGTACATACTTGTCATTATGCAGTATTTATTTAAAGTTGGTGTGTTTTTTTTTCACATGTCTGCACCTCAACTTGTGGTTTAGTCATGTAAATAGCACTATTCCAGAGACCACTGCTGCCCTGTACATAGTATGTTTTAAAAGTAAAGGGAATTCCAGTTGGGGGAAAAAAGAGGGGCAGATTAGTCCTGTAATGAACACCAACAATGTAAATCAATTTCATTCTGGTGATGGTATTTAACACTTTAAATAAAACATTTTCTTTACAGACATCGTATGCTTGACTTTCTCTGATTTCTATTTACTCCAAAGGTCCCAGGCTCATTACATGAATTCACACATTACATAAAAGCAGCAAATTCATCTTTTTCTACCTCTCAGTAACAGGAGCAGATTGCTGGTCGTAGCAAATAACCTGCAATAGAGCCTGTCTTTAACGTGACAAAGGATTTCTGCTCATCGTTAAAAGTTGCTGCTCTAAGAAAAGGTGGTTTTCTGGATGGAGGAGCTTTCTGATGAGATGATTCAGCAGCTCACAGATTTGTTGAGTGAGACAAGTGAGATTTCTGAGTCATTGTGGCCTCTATCAATAGCAGAGTCCCAGAGAATCAGGCACAGGCTCTGCCAGTTCCCGCATGAAGGTGGTAAATGTGGCAATGGGCATTATTTCTGATTAGTTCGCTCTCGGGGGGGGGGCAGTGGGGGTTCATTAGGAGATCTGTGAGGCAACCTGGCATACCACAGTTTATCTAGGGACTGGCTCGTATCATATGAGTGAATGGGCCAGGGGGTTTCTCCATATCCTTGTGAGGCAGCCCCTCAAGCTGGCAGAAAGAGCCTTAGCAGAGTTCCAACAGGAGTCCTCCGGGGTTCTAAATGGAAGAACTAGCTTGGGTTAATTAAAAATCCAACTAAAATGCATACCTAGTACTCTTTCCATTTCTTCCATTTCCAAATTCCAGCCCCATTCCCCACTCCTGTTCTTCACTATTCAATATACACTGTCTTCCCCAGTGAGGTATTTTTTTGCTGTTTATACACTCAGGTTATTAAAGTCTCCTTGCCTTTCTTATAGGCCTTGCTTATAGCCCTCTCTTGAAAGCCCTTAAGAAAAAAAAAAAAAAAAAAGATCTGTTAGTCCCTCCTTGCAACTTCCAGCTTGGGGCTTGGGACTGAACTCCTCCTGAGCAGTTCCTAACCCTAATATGGCTACCACCTACAGCAACACCCTCACTTTTCCAGGGCCTTCAGATGCCAAAACTCCACAAGCAACAATAAGGAACATGGCCATCCCCTTTGGAAGGACTGTGAGAGAATGGGTGGAGAAATCGTCAGAACTGTCTGCCTGTACTGACTTAACCTTTAACATTCTGTGCACATAAAAATCGTGTGTTCAACAGGTCTGTCTCCAATCCTCAGCTCCCGATACATCAGCGTCCTGCTGGCATCTGTGGACAGAGTAAATAAATGCACACACCCTCCTTTGGTTTGTGAACAATGTATTGAAAAGTGATATGCAAGAAGATATTTAAAAACAATCTTTGTGACTCTCCCATATGGTCCAGATATTGAATTTCTCTGGCATTCACTACTTGACCCAGGAAATCAGGAATTTGAATTAGATCCTTTTCTATTATTAAATCAGCACTTTGACTAATGTGCAAGCCCCTTTCATGGGAGACATGTCTATTTTTTTCTTTTCTATATCCTCAGTACCAAGAGAGATGCATGACGTACAGATTTTCAATAAATATCTGCCAAATTAATGAATATTTATGTAGTCCTTGCTATTTTGGAGAGACTATTCTAGGCATTTTAGTTAACAAAACAAGCACGGCCCTGTCCTCGTGGATCTTTTGTTCTACTAAGGAAGACACATAGTGGATAAAAATTAGACGTGTGAAAACTCCTAAAGAGAAGACCCCCAGATGAAAACTCCTAAAGAGAAGAGCATCCAGCTAAACATTTTCATTCTGTCAAGAGAGGTTGGTGTCTTAAAAGGAAAAAAAGGATTTAGCAGGAAATGACAGCAATGAGAGGTAGGAGTGAGGTAAAAAATATTCCGGGCAAAGAGAACAGTAGATTAGAAATTGAGCGGAGTGGACTGAGACTGTGCCACTCTTACAGTCGAGGCTTTAATAACCGCAAGTACATAGAATGCACTTGTGAGTGAATCAATAAACCATGGAATACTGATCCCTGCAATGCTGGTTATTTCAGGAACCACTGAGTTATGTTGAAAAGCTAGTTTCCATTCAAATATGATATGAGATCATTTTGTAAGTGAAATATTGATAAGGGCTCATCTTCTAGAAGGTTATATTTGACATGGTCCTCAGAAGGACTCTGAGAACTGTGTCACTAATTTCAGGTAAGTTTTGAACATAATCCCATACTAGCACACCACCTAGTTCAGGATGGCACCTCAGAGGTGGCATGGGAACCATCATGGGTGAATATCCCTTTCAACTAGTCTCAGATTACTGTCATCGTCATGAAAAATTCCTGAATTCTGGAATTTCTGTTTAATGCTTGCATGTGATTGGACTCTAGTGTTCTTAATACCTTTGAGTACCACTTGCTATTACGGTGTTCAGGGAAAAGGACCATTTTGTTTAACACACTTCCTGATCTATCCATATTACCCTCCATCCCGACTCCAGCTGATGGTTGCATCAGGAGTGCAGACTCACAAGCTGGGTCATTCTGTACTGTCGCTTGTGGAAATGTTTTATTTTTGGTTTGGTTTGTCTTGTTGCCAAAGAGGCTGTCCATCTCCTGTGACAGAAACTTTTAGGCAGGTTAAAGAGGTAGGACTGACAACAACTGTTTTCTGATATATGATGAGAGCTGAATTAAGGCAGAAGAATGTCAGTAAGCCAAGCAGAGGTGGGACTGAAGAGGCCTGCAGCTTTTGTGTTCTTGTTTCCTTTATGAGTGAAACTCAACTGTATCCTTACTCTTCCAAGAGATTGACACATTCTAGTTGTAGTTGGATCCCTGCTACTTGAAGTCAGGAGTCCCCATTAACACATTTGGCCAAAAACACATCTGATGGATTGTAGCATCTTGAAGAAGTCCTTGAAGTTACCTAGGACAATGTCATGGTATTAAAGGAAGCTCGAAGAACTGGTCATCCAACTTTTACACAGCCAAATAAAGTCTGCAATGCAGTCCTTTCCATAGTCTGTAACCGTTAGAATCTTCTTCCTAACACTTAGCCCAACTCTCTCTTCCACTATTTTCATTGGACTAGCACTACTATCTAGAATTATAAAGCAAAAATTTTCCTCTTTCAGGTATGAGTCCTTCAAATGAACTATCTCACTTCAATTTTTTGAAAGCAGAATAGTAAGTTGGTTCAAAGTACCTGTTCTAGTCATAAATGCCTGAATTCAAATATATGCTCACTAGCCATGTAACCTTGAATGGACCATACATAAATACCCAAAAGTAATATGTCTGGGTCATATGATATTTCTATTCTTCATATTTTGAAGAATCTCCACGCTTTTTCAATCTGGTGGCACCATCTTGTGTGCCCACCCCCAGTGTACAAAGTTTCAAACTCTCCACATTCTTGCCAACACATGCTTATTTCTTATCCTTTTGATAATAGCCATCCCTATAGGTGTGATGTGATTTCTCATTTGTTTTTGATTTGTGGGCTCGTTTTTGTTTTTTTAATTATACACTATGGACTAGTTCCTGGCTATGCTACTTACTCAGTGTTAACTCTTGACAATGGCATTTATATTCTCTGAGTCTCACTCCCCACATCTGCAAAACAGAGATAATGAAACTACCAGTTCATTTGGCTGTCCTGGGGGATTAAGGGAAAGAATGTATATAAAAGGTAGATAGCATTCCCAGCACCATGTATATTATAAAGTAAGTGTTCACAAATGCCAACTATTGAGAGCATAAGAACTGATAACAATGTCTAGAAAACCATTTTATTCTTTGGCTGTCTCATCTAAGGAAATCCTTATGAAATCCTCCTATGGCAGCAAATAGTTGCTTCTGTAGTTTAGGACCAACCCGGGCATCCACTGCTAGATTGGAAGGTAATTCTGCTGCGTGCTGTATAGCAGACATTGTCTAATCTTGAGTGAACGCACCCCATAAGGTCAGCAATTCTCTGTCCATGGCTGCATAAAGATCCTAGTAAGGAATCTCAAGCAGCAAGGCTGCTCAGGGCCTTCTCAGAAGGGAACAGCTAGTTTGACCGAGCTGGACCATCAACCAAAAGTTAGGTCCTTAAAATATGCTGGCAAAGTACACTCTATAGGGACTGACTCTGTGTGCTGCAGTCAGGAGGAAAGGAAGTCTCAGCTTCTGGAAGATAGCATGGCGTGAGGGCAGGACAGCCTCAGGCTCTGCAAAGGCAGATGCTTGAGTTCCTTATCACAGAGCTTCTCTGCTTGTTTCCTAAGCCAGAAACCGGTCTGCTCTGGGTCTCACCTACCGAAGCAACACCCCATCACTGGTCTGGCTGGTGGGCTGCCGAGAAAAGGCTTCTTTGATGGTGACTGCAGGACAGCAGGAGCCCTGCAGCCTGCAATGGGGCCTTGGCGATGTGGTGATGTCCCTAAATCCAGAAACACTGAGGCTTTGGGCCCAAGTGGGAGTGACCACCAGCACCGCAGCAAGAAGCTGAGTCTGCCTGAAGAAGCTGAGTCCGCCTGACTTTCAGCAGCCGATTTAGCCAATCTCAGGCTCCTGCTGGGAAATTATGGACATTGTAGGAAAAGGTATGTGTTACTTATTTCATCCTTGATTTGTTGCAGCCAAGAACATCTTGGGCAAACACCTAGGAAGCTTTTATAAGTTACTTTTGACTGAGTTAAAAAAAAAAAAAATCCCAACCAAACAAAAAAACTCCAGGCCTCTGCTGGGATGGAAGGGAGCAGGTAATCAGATGGGAGGTTGACTCATTCTGGAGGTCCTGACCTGCTACAAGTACTGAGTACTCAACTGTGATAATCCAGTCCAACTTTAGCTGCAAAATTGGCACCTACAGACAGGGAGAAAAATAATCCAAGCCTGCAGAACCAAAAATCTAGTTCTTTGGGGTTTTTTCAGAAAGGAGAAGCACTTGAAACATAGTCTCAAGACAGAATCATTTAGAAAATAGACACTTAAAAACAGTACATATGCAGGAATCACTCTACCTCCAGTGGACTGCAAAGGGCCTCCCCAAAAATGACTGGAATGTATATACTGAAGTCTGTGTCAGCTGCTAGAAAGAGTACAGGAGTTAGAGCATAAAGAAGG